GGGGGAGGCGGGCGGGCCCGGAGCGGCATGTTGGGGCACGGCGTTCGCGGGAGGACGGCTCCTGCTGTGCAGGCCTGCCCGAGGGTGCTGGTAAGTCTCAAGGAAGTTTAAAGCCGCTGGACCGAACAGATTGAGGGTCAATTTGAGTCGGGTACAATTAGTGCAGCCCCAAGATTATGCCCTTGAGCATTGTAACTAGGGAAACAAGAAGATGGATAGGAAAAAAAATACTCCCGGGCACCCTGAGGCCTCCCCCAGGCACAGACTGTGCCCTAGCCAACCTGGGCACCAACTGATGGAAACCCCCACTGCGCCTTCCTGAGTCCTCCCTCCTCTAGAGCTGCCCCTAATAGTAGCTTGGTTTAATTAATAATAACAGATCGATTTATAGAAGGTGTCCTAATACATATCGGGTGTGATCTGTGTCTGCTCCTTGAGTCCATCTCACTTTAGAGAAAAGGGAATTTACAGCACTTCTTGCTGAAGAATGTTGACAGGTGGATGCACAGATGACAAACAGATTTTTCTCTCTGTTCCTCGCCACCAAGATGACTCTCCAGGTGTGGCTGGTCTGGGATAATAGTGCTGTGCACAATGCTTAAGGAGAATATTAACATAGAATTGCAGGCTAAGGGATAACCTGAACAACTAAAAGGCTCAGGAAAAAGCTAGTAGAACGCTGAGGGGCTATGGGAAGCCCCAGTGATGCTACAGAAAACAGCATGGCTTTTAGGCACATCCTCAGAGAAGGAGAAGTGTCTTACTCCAGCCTATAGGCAATTGGTGCTGTTAATTACCACCTGTAATTACCAAAAGTCCTGTAAAAGCAGAAGGGGCTAGAGATGATGCATAGCAGATTATGGACTATATGTAAATATAGTATGGACTGTAATGGACTGTAAATATTATGGACTGTATGGACTGTAAATATTATGGACTATATGTAAATATTCCTATATTTCTGTGCATGTGACTTTATGTATCTGAAGACTCACATTTTAAGAGCTACAAGACAGCAAATTATTATCTTAGGGGAACGATAGTCAAGTGACCAGAGTTACTGAAGAGGAAGAGGGAGAGAGAGAGAAAAGTGTCTGAATTGTAAAATTAAGAGATCAATTTCAGGAAAGCTCAAATAGTGTAACTCCAGGTTAATGACAAGGCAATGGTATTTGGGGAAACAGGAAGGCAACAGATAGAAGAAAGGTTGAAGTCTTGTGGAATTAAGGGTCCTTCTCATCAGTTCCAACTTAGAGCAATTTTAGGAGGATTTAATTTCCTCCAGTAGTGTTAACATAGCTTTGCTGTTATCAGCAGACCGTGGTGGAAATGACTGGAAAGCAGTCGGGAACGGAGCTGGAAGAAGGAACATGACGCTGCTTTCACTAAACTGAAGGAAGTGCCTGTAAAATGTCCTGCCCTCAAATTCTCAGGACAAGGCAAGCCTTTTTCAGTAATGCTTTCCACATCTGCTGGTTCCGTGGGAGCAGCACCATTAGAAAACAGGTAAGGGAAAGTGGTTGCCAGTAGCATCATCCTTACATCCCCTTTGCGACTAGACTAGAAACTCTCTGGCTGTGAGAAAGACTGTTTAGCGGCGATTTGGGCTGTAACTGTCTTTGAGACTTTTACCTTTGATAGCACAGATGCAGTGCAATCTGCTCAATTCCCTCTAAAGTAGCTAAAGTCAGGGAAATGAATAGGCAGCAGAGTATCATCTATCCAGTCTATCCAGTGGGCACTAGTCTTAGCAAGGCGAGGATTACTGTGCAAGTGTTACAAGAAATGGATCTTCTGTGTGTCTGAATTGAATAGCGGCAGAGTGCAGTTGTGCCAAAAATGTGGACATAGAAAGTTTCTGAAAGATTAATCTCTAGTGGCTACTTAGTCTAGCTTTCCTTTCACAGCCACACAAATGTCATCATAGCTTCCAAAAGGGGGGGTTGGCAGAAGCGATATTCGTGGCTTGCATATTCTCATTTACCTTGTTTGCGTGTGTATTAAATCTGCTTGTGTGTGTATTAGATCTGCTTTTGTGCTTAGAAACAAGTTTGGTTTCTTCTGATTTTCTACAGAGTTTTGATTTTTTTTTTTTTTGCTTTGCTTTATACTTTCAGAGGGTGATGGATTTTACCATGCCTCCATCAAAAAGCATTGGCTGACAAAGTTACAACGTCCCAATGGAGACTCAAGACGGAGGAGTACAGACATGCAGCCTGCCAGAAGAACGTCGCCTGCGAGGGGTTGCTAGCCTTGAGCTGTAGGCGCTGATGCATACGGCTAGTTCTGTCAGACACGGAGAGGTTTCCTTTACACCCTACAGTGTTTATAAATTGTGTTAATCCTTGGCATTCAGAACATCAGGGAATGACTATATGCTGCCATGAAGAACTACAGGCTACTGCCCTCAGACCTTTGTAAGTTACGGCGTGTCAAGAGCGGCCAGGAGAATCCAAATGCCAGCGGAAAGGTTCTCTGCCTGGTCCTGATGAGGAGGCTTCGGCCGTAGGAAGGTTGGCAGCGTCCTTACCGGACTGCCGAGCAATAAGCCACAATTCACGGACCGGCCAAGGAGAGGGGGAATAGCGACTGGTAGCCCAGTCGCTATGGCATTGCTGTTGCTAGCAGGGCTCCGAGGTCTGTGTGAAGCCTCACCTGCCTGTTTGGAATTTAATTTTGGTCTGTTTACCTGGAATAAGCACTGAGGCCTAAAATAAGAATTTCTGTGGCTAGACGGGTTACCTGTGACCCCACCTGTCTTTGCCTTGCTTTGCTGCTTAATGTAACAACAGTAACTTGGGACCCCAGAATAAAAACTGTTACAATGTTTAAGGGAGGATTTGCGTTTGCCCAGGTAAGAGAACCATTATTAAAGCTTTAGAGAAAAAAAAGCTCTGAAATGAGAATCTCCGTTGACCTTGGTGGTTTGATTCATTTGCAGGATAACGTTCCGAGGGCCGGCAACATGAAGAGGAGCAGCTCAACCTGTTTTGTTGATTTTGGTGATGCTGTTGTAAGGAAGCGTGTAAGTACAGAAGGGGTCTGGGTGGGTTTTCAAACAAGATGGGAAAGAGCAAGGAAGATTTGAGTGTGGAAAAACTAGGTGCCCTAAGTCCTGAAGTTGCTAAGGGCTGAGAGCATTTGGGGTTAAGCATGTGCATATGAAGGTTTAAAAGACTGTGACTGAACCCAAGGCTCCTCCCCAGTCTGGGCCTGTGCGTGCACCCTCGCTCTGGCAGATGCAGACACTCTGGAGGTGTAGGGATGCAGGCAAGCAGGCCCGCAAGCGGACTTTGGGCACAGCGGTGTGCAGAGCTCTGCATGCTTGGCAGATGAGCGGGGCTGGAGCACGTCAGGGGCTGTTCCAGGCTCTCTGGATCCATCCGGTTCCGCTCCCCGTCCCTCTGTCCAGCTCTCCATCTTTCTCTTTTTTCCCCCTTAGCTCTCGTTTAGCTTCTCATTCCTTCGTTTAGCTACTCATTCCTCTGCCCAGCTCCCCATCCCTCTTGTACTCTTTCCATCTCTCTGTCAATATCTACTTTCCTCTGACTGGCTCCCTCCCTATGACTCTATGGAGCTCTCCATCACCCTCTTCCTCTCCCGATCCCGCTCTCTGCCACTGTCCCTCTATCCGGCTTCCCATCCCTGTGCCGCTCATCTGTCTCTCTACCTTTCCAGCCCTGTCCACCTCTCCAGCCTTCTCTTTCTAGTTCTCTCCCTCTGTTCAGCTCCCCCTCCATCTATTTGCCTCCCTGTCTCTCTTTTTCCCTCTTCCATCTCATCTCCCTGTCCGAGACTTCCCCTCCCTCTTTTTCTCTCTCCACTTTTCTGGCTGGCTCTTCATCCTTCTCACTCTCTTCCCATTGCTCTGACCGGCTCCCTTTCCCTCTCTTCCAGTCCCCATTCTTCTGTCTGGTTCTCCACCCTTCTCTCTTGCTCCCTGCCCCTCTCTCTGCCTTCTCTTCCCTCCTTTCCTCTATTCTTCTGTCCACCTCTACATCTCTCTTTTTCTCTCTTCTGCTCCCCAGTCTTCTGTCCAGCCCTCCATCCATCTGTCTGGCTCTCTGTCCCTCTCTTTCTATTCTTTTGCCCAGGGCCCTGACCTTGGAGCCGGGTCTCTGTCCTTCTCTTTCTTTCTCCATCCATCTGCCAAGCTCGCGCTCTCTCTTTTCTTCTCTTCTGCTCTCTGTTCCTCTGTCCAGCTCAAGGTCCATCATTCATTCGTCTGTGTTTTACCTAGCGTGGGAGGTGTCAAGAGGTGGTTGGCACTCAGCAGAGATGATCAGCAGCGACCACGTCAGCAGCGATCAATCTGCCTGGTTCGGGTCACGTCAGACACCTCTGCAGTGACTCTGCGTGTGGAGGCACGGGGCTGTGGATGTGCAGTGGGGGAGCACTAGTGGGCCAAAGATGCTGTGGGAGATGTGATAGACAGTGAAGAGACTCCTGGGGAAGGTGTCACGGAGGCAGAGATCAGCAGAGGCTCCGCGTACTCAGCTGTTAGGACAGGTGCTCATGGTACGGCAGTCTGGAGCTGCTGCTGTTGTCTGTCCTACTCATCAGCGCAGTCTGCAGTTACTGCGTCTTGTCTGCCTGTGCGTAGACAGGGCTGCCGCGGGGTGCAGCTCGAGTTGCGATTGTGTTGCTGGCATCGACGCAAACCAGTTTTCTGACTTTATGCAAACTGGTGTCTTCCCTACATCAGCCTTACTCTGCTCCTCTTCCAGGAGCCTGCGCTCGACTCTGCTTTATGGCACGCTGTCGCGTCACAGGGCTTTCCAGCACGGTCTGGTACGCGTGGTAGGCCGCATGCTAGGCAACCTGAGCGAATGAAGCAAAATCCTTTTTCTGTCGTTGTCCAGGCCGGAGTCAGTTTCCCATCAGCTCAGTCTCTCCAGAGTATGGAGTTTTTGGAGGCCTTAGTGTTTATCCTGCCTTGGCTGGACAGTGCTATCTGAGAGTGTCTGTCAGCGGCAGTTTCCCTGAGGAGGACCATCTGCCGAAGACTGGAGGTGGCCGGGTACCTGAGCGAGCCTGATTGTACAGGAGGGCTGCTGTGACATCCTTGCAATGAAATGGAGCCAGAGAGAGTGACTGAGGCAGCATAGAGGGTCAGTCATCATTGCGGGAACAATTACGGGCCTTGGGCTAGGGAGTAGTTCCAGGAGAGCTGTGCAGTTGCCTGGCCTCTCAGTAACTGTTCCGGCCTCTTGGCAGGTGCTGAAGGGTGGTCTGGCAGTCGAAGGACCGGCGTCTCAGCTGGGAGCTCCGCAGAGATCTGCGGCTGGCCACGGAGGACGAGCTCTGACTTGCAGCGTGGACGCAGCTAAGTCCTGGGGCTGCATTGCGTGTGAGCAGGGCTGGGAGGTGGAAGGCGGTTGTCCCCTAGGTGGTTACTGGTGTCACTGGCTGAGGATGTTTGCCCATGGAGCTGAGGGGACCAAAAATATTAATTGTCTGTAATGGAGATGAATTAGTGCTTGCGGTGTTTCAGGCGGGTTCAGTGGAAGTGCAGCTTAGCGCAGCCCTGTGGAGCGATTCTTGCACATGCTCACGTTTGAACGGTGGCTTAAACTAAGCTTATAAACAGCAACTGCAACATGATTCTGGTGCGTGTCTTCCTGTTCTGCTGCCCTTCTAAATGAAGGGGAAACTTCTTAAGCGGTAGGCAAAACTCCTTGGCTTCTTTTTACTGTTCTCATGTTCACTTGGGCTTTGGGTTTTCTTGTTTAAAGCTGAGGGTTTGGAGTTTTTCACTTAAGGTTTATTGTTTAGTTTGTTGTTGAGGGTCTCTCACTCAGGTTATGGTTTATTACTTTATTTTGTGGGGTTCAGTCTTTTATCGGTCAGGGTTTACAGTTCCCTGACTTAGCGATCAGGGTGCGGGATTTAAAATCCAACCTCATCCGTAAATTTTGAAGTCTCTGCAACCATTTCAGTTCCAGGGTTTCAGTTTGTCACTTAGGGTTCAGGGCTTACACCTTACTGGTAAATGACCAGGGCTACATCCTTAGATAATAAACGGTAAACCCTGAAGCCTAAGCAGCAGGCTGCAAACCCTTCTTTGGGGTTTATAACCTTCCTTTATAACCCAGCCTTCAGCTTTGTGCACTGACCCGAGGTCTGGATTTGATACGGCACAGGCCCATCACACAGAGCGGTGATGTGACGGGTGAGCCGAGAGCTCTGAAAGTGTCTTGCAGGGCTCTAGTCTGGGGTACAGTGGAAGTGAGAGAGAGGCAAGATCAGACATGTTCCTCTCACCTGTCAGAGCTGAATCCTATCCCTGGAGGAAAAAGCAGAGGGGTAGGCTGTCAGCTACTCAGACAGCTGCCACGTCAAGGGCAGCAGCAGGAGCTGACCCTTCCCCAATGGACCAGTGCACGCTGGTCTGGAGATGACTCTTCAGGTGTCACAGGGTAAGGGGAAGCATGCTGGCACTGAGCTCCATGGCAGCCTTGCTCCCAGGTGTTGTTTCTATGCAGTAAAACAATAAACAGTTGCTTTGCTCTTTGCACTCGTTGTCTGTGGTTCCTGCCATCGCTTTGCCATTACTTTGGGGTTCCTGCGGTTCCCAGGGAACCCAGTGCTGTTCACAGGGGTGTGGGGACTTCCCCTGCCTTGCCTTGACCCTCGGGGCTCTTAGTGGAGCTTCCCATTATCCTGGGGGCAGCCAGGGCCCCCCAGGGCTGTGTGAGGTCCCCAAACTGCTCCCAGATTTGCTTTCAGCACTCTGCAATGCCCCTCGTGCGTCTGGGGCTGGGGCCTGTGTGCCTGGTGCTGGGAGACGGAGTTTCCATGGGGCCAGGAAGAGTCTGCAGGCACCTTCCCATCAGCTGCACTGAGCCCCGTGACATGCCTTTTGGCCTCTTTGGTGTGCACTAAGACCCTTCACTTGAATTTTGGTTTGTCCCAGAGCCCTACATTTGCCCTCTGATGCCCTCACGACCCCTCAATTCACTTTTTCAAGTGCCCCCAAGCTCTCTGTGTGCCCTGGGGCCCTGTGTTTGTTTTGCAGCATGCCACAAAGTTCTCTGTTTAGCTTTCTCCCCTGGCCAGGAGTTTTCTGGATGCTGTTTGGTGTGCCCCAGAGCCCTGCCTTTGTGTTTTGGTGCCCTCACAATCACTCTGCCCTATCTTCGCGTGGTAACTTTCTTTTTTTAACTTTTGTTGACCCAGAGCTCTCCATTTATTCTCTTGTGCCCTGAATACTCCTTTTTCCTCTCTGTACCCCCCAGGGCTCTCCCTTCAGCTTTCAGCAAGCACCTGGGGGGAGCTGAGGTGCCTCTGCTGCCCTGGTAGCCTCAGCTGTCCCTGATGGGGCTGATGGCAATTCCCTGCAGCTGTGGGCCCGGGGGCTGGGACAAACTGCAGGTGTGGTGGAGGGGGTAGGGGGGAAGCCCCAGGTGGGGCTGGGGGCACTGATGGCCACGGCAGGCATGCGCCGGCATCGGGACCGTAGTTGGGGGAAGCTCGGGCAAGGGGCGGTCTGGGACATGGGAACCACGGCTGAGCACCACCCGCTGGGACCGGCGCTGCGGCTGCACCGCGGGGAAGGTGAGCGGGGCTCCGGGGCGGGGCGGGGTCCCCGCTCGGGGCT